TTTCATCTCTACCTAACTCACCTAGTGAAGACCACAAATATCTGCGTAAGCAGGGGCTGAGATTAAAGCTCAGCTGAAGGCAGCACTTCTGGGCTGGGGGCAGCTTGGGGCCAAGCTCCCCTCTCATACCTCCCTCAGGGCTATGAAGAGGTTAGCAGGGTCGCCCCCTCCTCGCCCAGCCCACCAAGACCTCTCAACTGCCACCACTCGGCATTGCGCCACCAGCAAAGGACTCACCGTCGCATGGGTTGACAGCCACAGCAGCCGTACTGCCAGCCAGACACCCGGAGAGGAAGGACACGTAGAACGGGGCCTTGACATCAGGGTCCTTCTGGCCCAGCTTGTTCAGGTTTGCAAACAGCGGGAAGTAAACGATGGAAAAGGGGACATCTCTGCCGTGCGAGCAGGAGGAGGAGAGAGGACAAAAATGAGCAAAGCCAGCACAGGACATGTGCATGCAAGCAAAATGAATCCAGGCCCATATCCCATCAAGCCAACACTTCCTTTGCACCCTCACCCCTCCTTGGGCGATCAGTCCCTTAGGTCCCTTGTAGGATCAAGGGTGCTGGCGCTGTCCTACCTCAGCAGCGTGGCTCCCAGGCCCTTGTAGAGCCCCGCAATGCCTTTGCTCCGCAGCAGCTCCCTCGTTATCTGTGTGGCGGTGGTGCGCGCTTCCACCACCGGCTCTGCCGCTCCCGCGAGCTGGGCCTGGGCTGCCATCAGCTTCTTCTGCGCCGCTGGGGGGGAGGCAGAGAGAGCGCCAGTCTGCGAGGTGCTCAACAGTGTCTCCGTCACGGCCTGGCAGCCGGACGGGGACAAAGAGGCAGATCTCCGGGTGCACGGAAACAAGAGACATGCTCATCGTGCGGGCTGAGGCCAGCTGCATACCCTGTCGGCTTTTATCCCTCAGCCGGAGACAAGCCAGTGTGTCCTGCACTTGGAGCTGGCTGTTCACACACTGCAGCTACACTTTCCTAACTGACCATTTTTAACAAGGCGAAGCCACTGGTCATGCACGACCTCCGCAGTGCGGAGAGGAGCTGTCGCAACTAGGCGTTAAAGAGAGGACTTGCTTCCAGCTACATCCCTGAGCTCGGTAGGAAAAGCTAAAGATACCCATAAATAAGGGCGGTTCAACACTTCTGTTCTTTACTCCCTTCCCTCAAAAACAACTAATAACTCAGGTTGTTCCTCGGCTGCACCAGGGACACCAGACTTATGCACACGACCTGGTTTCTCCCAGGAACCTTTTCAAGCCCTGATGCATTTCTGCTCTTTGGCCAGAAGATGGAGAGCATATCAACCGAGAGCGATCCTCCGGCTGCCCCAGGGACAAGGCAGGTCCTTTGCCTCACAGAGAACAGGCTGCGGCCGCTCACGGCAGCGACAACCTCTTCTGAACCCTCAAACCGCAGCTTAATTCCTTCAACCGTTTCAAAATAATACACGCAAAGAGGATAAGGTCTGCATTAAAAACAGCAAAGAGAGGAAAGAAAAGCAAATCCGTGATTATTCAGGAACACAACATCAGAGGAGGGATTAAAGGGCAAACTGGCCTGTTTGCCAGAGTTTCGGAAGGGCCACCAACATGGTACCTAATCCCTTCTGACTCGTGTGCAATTGAGTTTTAATCATTCACAAGCTGAACACGCAGTCGTCTCTTCCAGCTCTCTCCCCTCCGCCACCTGCGTTTGCTGCTTCGCTCACCAAGCCTATTGCTTTGAGCAAAAATCACCTTTCGCCACCAGAAGAGCCTCCTGGCAAGGCCAAGTGAGCAAAGGGAGGGGGAACAAGCTGGGAAGAGAAGGAGAAACTTCTGTCACAACCTGAGATACCTCCAGCTTGGGGCAGGGAGGAAAAAAAGGGGTTTTATGCTCATTCCCTCCCCCTTCTCCCCCCACCTCTGCCCCCAACGGCGCGCGAGAGAAGAGGAACGCAAGGTACCTATTCGGCCTGCGTCCTGCAGCTGGATTTTGAGCATCTCCATGGGGGTGGTGACAATCACCTGGCAGGTGCCAGCGCCGCAGCCTGCCAGCATCTCCCGCAGCAGCGTCAGCTTTTTCCTGCCCAGGAAAAGAGAGAGAAGGAGAGGGAGTCAGTCGGAGGAGGTGGCCTGGACCCCCAGCTTTGGAGCATCCCCCCTCCCCTTTTTTTTGGCACCACTTTTCAGCTTTGGGCATCTTCTGCCTCCCCTACATCGCAGGGCAGGGCTTGCCAGGGGCGCGCTCTCCCATACCGAAATGCAGCAACCAATAGCTGCGACCAGCAACTCCCCTTCCCTCCCTCCCAGAGCTGGGCAACAGCACGGCCACAGGAAAAAAAGGGGAGCTCAGGGTGCAAATGCTCAGAAAGACTCAATTTTCAGAAACTGGTGAGCTCTCACCCTGTTAAAAAACAAAAAATCTCACTACTGTCTTTACATTGTCACACCTGGGACCAGAAATTGCTGACTTGATTCAAAAGCTATCATAAGCAAGCGTCTTCATAAAGCTTTCTGCCAACGTTTTGGGCCTCAGATTTGCTCTTTCTTAAAAGGAGGGGGAAAAAAGCGGTGTATATAATCACTCAGCCAGAGGGTAGCAACCTCCTTCTTTGTTTCAAATGCAAACCCCTCAAAAGTGATATTTTTATTCCTGCCGCGCGACTGCCTGCCCTTCGCGGGACGCCCCAGCTCCCCGAAATCCCCCTCGCCCTGCGCGCCAGCTGGGCTCCCCGCTCGCCTTCCCCGCCGAGGGTATCAGAGCCGGGGATTAGAGGTGCAAAGCCACGGCAGAGATTACCAGGGACTAAATATAGCGCTCTCCTCCGAGGCTGAAGGCAGGAATATCAGAAAGATCAGAACAGTTTTAAACTGGTTCGTCTCTAGATGACAAAAATGGTTTAAATATTAGCGTGACGCAGGCCTCATCCTCAGTAGTTGAAAAACTGGCACATCTCAACTGACTTTAAAAGGTAGGGCACCAGCAGGGATCCGGTCCTACGAATGCAGACACTGTCTGTTATCACAGCAAGAGGGTATTAAATATATACAAAAATACAATAGCTCCAAGTTCTGCACCGGTCAAAACCTATCATTCAGTTTTTTCCACTGACATACAATTAAGTTAGTGAAAGATCTACAGCGTTAAATGGGAAGAGGAAAAGATTTATATTGGATTGAAATGTGAGTTTCAACTAGAAAAAGACAAAGGCAGGAGAATCAAAGCAGAAGAGCTGAAGATTTATGGAGAGCTTTTCAAGAGCAATGCATCAGTCCAAAGTTAGGTCCAAAGTTAGGACCTAGGGAAGAAATGATGTATTGATGCCAAATGGGAGTAGGGTAGGATTTTTGCAAAAGCTTCTGAAAAATGTTGACCTCCTAGGAGCTGCCTGTGCTCGGGGAGGGACTAAAACCAGCCATTCTGGAATAAGCATGACATAAGGTTTCCAAAGGCAGGAAAACGTTGGCTTAAGGAAACACCCATACAGAACTATACCTTTCTATTTGCACATCTGCTTTGTAAAAGGCAACCAGGTAAATGACCCCCAGCCCCCGCCACCCGCAAAGCTGCTCACACCCTCTTCGTGCTACCCAAGAGACCACCATCCCCAGACTGCTCACTCCTAAAACGCCTGCTGCCTCCAGTCGGTTGATCCAGCAGACTGTAGGAGGCTCCTGAAGAGTTTCGAGCCAAAGGAAGCCAGCTGATGTAAAACAATTTAAACAGCAGGCCTCTGATATGCACTTGGGGACCAACACACAGGGGTTGTCCCTCAAAGCGGGGGACGTGCTCACCAAGTGTCCCCCAGGGAGGACTGGATCCTCCTACCTACAAGTCACAGCGGGTCGCATGCAAATTATCTGCATTAAAGAAGTGTGTGGACATCTCCTGGTTGTCTCTGGGAACACGGGATGCTATTTCTCTTCTCTGAGGAAAGCCAGAAATGGCAGGGAGGGTTGGGGGAGGGAAGAAAGTTTGCTGGTATCAGCAGAGAAACGATGCAAAAGTGCTGGTCTAGCTAGGAAGCAGGGCTGCTGAGTCAGCAGATTCGCCAGCCTTTGCTCCAGAACAGCAAACAAAATGAAGGTCAAGACTAAAGAGGGCAGGAGAGGTAAGGGAATTGCTGCAATAACACACCTCGGACAGGAGCGACAGGAAAGTCATCCAGACTTTGGAGACTTTTTAAGAGCAAGAAATCCCTTTTAAAACAAGCCATGAGACATTCTTCACCGCAGCCAAGGCAGAGTATTTAACCAGGAATCTCAAAAATGAGCAACAAAACCTGGCAAACACATGCCGAATACAACAGCTGTCTGGCGCTCAACAGTTTGGAGATAAAGATGAAACCTAGTAGGACACTTTAAAGGAACCAGTTTTTAGGAGGTGCTTAAGGCAGGATGGCACAGCCAGCACAAGCACCCCAGGAACGAGGACCCACATGAAGACTCCTCCGCAAGCCACCACTTCTTCTTGTTGCTGTGGGAACTGCAGAGACCATCAAGCCAAAATAATCACAGGACCATGCTAGACCTAACGTCTTTCCCAATCAGCGACATGGAGTTTCCTTAGGTTTTTTTGGTATCTTAGTTTTCCTCCATGGCACAGCGAGTGGGGTGGCACTGCTAATACGACTTGCCTAGGCCTCCTCCTTCCTAACCAACAGGGACAGCATGGAGGACCACATAGTAAGTTGCTTCCTCCAAAAACAAGAATTTCAAGCAGTAGGCCATCACACTGCTCTCGCCGGTGAACACACACCCTTGCTGTACCAAAAGGAGTAGGAAAGCGCTGTACAAGGGAAACTACCCACCCCGGTGGGCCCCAGGGCACGGGGGGACTGCAGGAACAGAGATCTCCAGATACAGGGAAATGAGAGTCCAACAGGGCCTCTGGGTCTCACCACCCCAGGACGCTGCCTCCGGGAACGTCTAAGAGCTCGGCCAGGGAAAAGTGAGCCCAGCACAGACCTGTATTAATAAATCCCCAGATTGCTCTTCCAGCAATTTTCAGCACAGAGCTTCCTGCATCACAGGTGTTGGCCTTTTGGAAGTGGGATATATGTCACTTTTTCTTTTTTTTTTTCTAGCAGGTTAAAAGCAGGTTCATTTCAACACTGAATTTCTCAAAGGTAAAAAAAAAAAATAATAATAATGCACACTAGAGGTTGTTGCATAACTTGAGGCTACTTTGGGTCACGTTGGATTTGCCACATTCTCTCCTGTTCGCACATGCTTCTTCCACTTGTATGTGGAGCATAGGCTCAGCAAATTTAAATCAGCAAATTGATAAAACATGCAGTTTATCAGACAAGGATCTCCAATTCATATTGGATGTATTTCAAGACAAGCGCTGGAAACTTAGCAACGAAAGCGTTCAAAGTCAAACAGATCTAGAAGACCTTTGCAGCTCTTTAAAGTGCAGAAAAGCACTGGAGGTGGCTGCAGTCCCATCCTTCCGAATGCTGGTCTTCGAGTACGGCATACTGCGAATGCACAGCAGGTAACCTGGCTTGTGCAAGAAGAACTCTGGGCAAGCTGAAGCAAGGTCTCGGGAGCCATACGTCCACACCATGAAAAAGCAGCCCCCAGCCTTACCCTGAGCCTAACTCCCTCAGCAGCGCTTTGCACCATTTAACACCTTGACTGTTGCAGTTACACATCCAGAAATGAAACCGCACTGGTGTGCCAGGCAGCTTGAATCGTCTCCTTTCTACTGCACAGATATTTTGCTGTTCACATCTAGGCTTTGACTGCAGCTGTGGAATAAGTACCCCAGCCTTGCAATGTGTGAGTAGGGTATGTGCCACGTTTTGCCCCGGGTAAAAGGGGAGGTGCCTGGATTTGAGCACTGCTAATCCTGCCCCGTCTCACGTCAAAAACAGAGTAAGAAGGGACAGAAATGTCTCAAGGGAGAAGCCCGCCGCTGCAAGCAGCTTGGAAAGAGGGACCAAGGGCATGCTGAGCCCTTGGGGATGGACACACAGCTTCACAACCTGACCAGACGGACCCTCACCGTCACTCCAGTTTGCCATGCATGCTGCACGTGGGAGAAGATCCTGCGAGCTGCCAAAGGCACAGCAGTGGCACGCAACGGGCACGACCCCTCCAGCAGGTTACGTTCACCATCCCCAGGCCTGTGGGTTCCCAAGCACGGGGGAAAAGGATGCCAAGACAAGAGGCTGCCCTGCAGTTTCTAAGGATTCGCGTGCTCATTGGTGATGCCACTGCCTTCTCAGCCACCCTCTGCCTCCCATGCACTAGACAAGGTCATAGCAGGCACAATACCTTTCAGCTACACCCAGTTTGAGGGCCTAGACCAGGCACAGCCAACCTGCAAAGCACTTTCTTTCTCATCACATCTTGGAGTGCTATTTCTAGCTCGAAATACCTTAAAACACCTGTCATGGCAATATCGTGCAGTACGTGCAGAAGCTTTACCACCAGGCATATAGCTTTTTAACGGCTGAAACATCATGCCAGTGGTTTCTCCTCCGGAAGACCAGATGCATTGCAACACTGGTCTGTTTTCTTCCACGGGCCAGTCTTTCAACAAACTGGGGGTACAAGGTGTGGCAGCTTGGCACCCTTTCCTTCTTTTTCCCCGTACAACCTAAGCCCTCACGTCCTAGGTGGTGGCAAAGAGCTAGCTGTGCTCCAGGCTACTGCAGAAGGCCAGGGCCTGCTGCACTGTTGCTGCTGCAGGGATTGGACTCACTGCTTGGAAGAAGCAAAGAGCAGTGAGGACATCATTACCTCCCACCGTCTGCGCAGAGCACAGAAGAGACACTATTTGAAGAGACAGAAAATCACAAACAGCTGCGAGCTGATGAGTCACGCAAACGTTTGCTAGCTGCTGCTTTAAAAGACTCCAGAATAACAACCACAAAAAAAAAAAGAGGTACATGAAAGGCCCAGATCTTCAACCCATGTAAATCAGCAAAGTCCACTGAAGTTTTTGAGCCACTCTGACCTGAAGCAGCTGAGACTCATGTGGGATGCTATGGGGAGCTGGCAAATCAAATAATCATTGCAGAGCTTTACGTTCGCGGAGAGGCTCCACCCAGCACTGCCGGTGGTAAGAGTTAGGATCATCTCCCAAGCCGGCCGTTTTCTAACTGATGGGGACCAGAGTCAGTGCCCTTGCTGGACCCCTCATGGGCTGCTGCTGGAGAGAGAACTTGGTCAGAATGGAGACGCAAGTGTCCTCTGAATTGCAAGGGAAATACCTTGGTGAAACAGCATTAGCTATTCACGGTCCAGCTTGGTCCTGCAAAACTAGCATCCTTCTCTGGCATTTAATTCAAATGGACCAACCCCCTCCCCCCCCCACTCCCAAACTAAACAGCTGATTTTATTCCTTCAGCATTTACATGCGGATCTGCTGCTGGGCAACACCATAAGTGCCGTTTGTCAACACAGATTTGTTCCCCACCTCTTCTCACCTCTCTGAAATAATTTCCAAGTTACAAAGGCACAAAAGGGTGCTAAGTTTGGGATCTACAGAACTTGACTTGCCATCTGTTCAAGCTACAGTCACTGAAAAGCCAGAAAGAGCTGAAAAGCACCCAATGGGAAGCTGAGGACAAGGTCCTCCCAGCAGCTGTCTGAACAGAGATCAGCGCTGTTGGGTTACTCCTCAAATACTTCGCCTGCAAAGTCTGGATCTCTTAACCTTGGCTTAGATCTAGGGCTATTTTTAGAAGCTTAAAAAAGCTGTCCTACAGTGAAGTGCTTTTCACTTCCAGTTTTAGACATCATATCCTTAGCTTGAATGTAATCACCAGCTGAGCGCTTTGAGATTAACGTTCCAGTCGACTCATGTTCCAGTCATCCCATTGCCCCATTCCGCTTTTGCCCTGCCATTTCTCCAGGCTTCTCCCAGGAGCAGGTGGCCTCAGCCCAGGTGCCGTAGGGCTACACCCACTACTCACCCGTCTTTAGAGAGGTGGTGCCGGAAGAAGTCATTGGCTGCCAGTTTGATAGCCTTTTCTGGTGTCACTAGAGTCAGGTTCACCGCAGCCCCTAGGGAAGAAAAAGACAAGATCACCACTGGAGGATAAGAATAAAGCACCCATTAACTGGGTCACTCATGAGTGTGTTGTAACTCCTGCTCAAAACGAGGGACAAAGATGAAGGAGAGCTCCCAATGCACCACAGAGATTTAGAAACACAAAGCACCACTGGAAATTAATAGGATTTCTACCTCCCAGCATGTGGGGTTTTTGAAAACATCCCCCAGCGTGTTTCAATTCCACTTGCAAGAGGCTTTTTATAATTTCTTTAGCTTCACTACTACTCCCCGCCACGCATACACACATCCCCTTCTCCCATCCAAGCACATACTCCGATGAATTTCTGAGGGATGCAGATCAGGCCTTCAAGAAAGGAGGACAAGTGGGATTAATACCCAGCCCCAACTCCCTCGTGAGTATCTTGTGACGCTGAGAAGCAGAAAACACCCCCTCTCCTCTTCTTGCTACTGCCCCTGCACCATCAAAACCACACACTGGCGCTCTAGAAAAGCCAGAGCCCTTGAAAGGCTCGGAGGCCAGCCCAGGTCAACTGGATCCTCTACAAAGACTTCAGCCAGCTCTACGCCCACCCTTTGGGTTAGGTGACTGCCCTCGTATTTCCCTGCTGGATGTCACTGGCAGAACAGCCACTCCGCTGGGCTATTGAGTCCACCTGGAGCTGCAATTCGTACAAATTTCCCTGCAAGCACCCGGCCCAGGGTGGCCGCTCCCTGGGGACACAGGACGTAAACAAGCCCTCGGTGCCACTTCCCACGGCAGTGCCCTTTTGTCAGGAGCAGCGAACGGCAAATCCCCACGTTGCACCTGCCACAGTGAAAGGCCCGTGCGGCCCGTTCCCCCACTGAGGGCCACCGAGACCAGCGTTAGTGAAACACGAGGGCTCTCGTACTGAATGAATGACCGTGTCTTTGGAAGAACAAGAAGGGAAAGAACAAAAAAGCACACCTGCTACTCTAACATCTGTGCAAAGGGCTCGTTGAAAGAAAGAAAAAGGAAAAAAAATCAAGCAAGAAAGGGAAGCGAGAAATATGCTTCCACGTGCTGACGTCTTCCAGCAACTGAGGAGGCTTTCACATCCATTTTCTCCTCCAATTGTAAATAAAGCGGAAGGGAAAAAAAACACCTACCATACACAGGGAAAAACTAACAAACCTAGGTTTTCTCCTACGTCTTTGATATTTTCAGCAAAGCTGCTTAGCAGAGAATGGATAATCCCTGTCCTCAATAATCCGTAACAGCTTCAACTCACTGGAGGAAGAGAAATTAGATACTTCAGCCGTCGCCCGTACGCCTTCCAGTGTGTTTTCTACCTTTTTACAAAACCTCGTAGCTCTTAAATTCTAGCTTAAATTCTATTCTATTTCCCTATATTAGGGAAATATATTTCCCTACTGAAAGCTAACCTTAGCCTATAGTTAAAGCTATATGTACCTGAAGCAAGGGCAGATGGGATCACAAGCGAAACAGAGTCAGGAAAAGGAGAGAGTAGCAGGATGAGGCAGTGCCCGAGCCCTTGGGGGCAGCTCAGGGTTGCGTTTCTTGCTTTCAGCTTTGCTTCATGCTTGCACAAGTCAGAGCACCCTGGAAACACACTGACGTGCTTGGAGATCACAGTCCCCAGCCAGGGAGAGAAAATACACACAGACAAGCGCCGCAGGGCAAAGCCGAAGCGGGCCGGATGCCGCCACACTTGCTGCTCCCTTTACCAGCTGGGAAAGGAGCACCGGCAGAATCGGCGCACTACAAACGTAACTGCTCCGGCTATTAATAGGGTACGCTGAAGCCTGGAAAACTTTGCATGACCCTGGCAGTCCCAGATAATTTTGGCAGGCAGCGTGTGAACTGGGGGGTGATGTAGCAGGTATTATTAGCAGAGGCCAGGGAGGCTGCCACACTGCTGTAGCAGCGCGTTATGAATGCGTATATCGGGCAAGGTGCAGCTGAGCAGCAAAGCGTGTTTGCCTGGCCTGGTCTAGTCCTTCGGTTCCTGACAGCTAGGTGAAATGGCTGGACTGCAAACAGCGTGCGCCTTTGAAGGATGGGCACTTTCCCAGCCCGCAGACGGACTGTATCGGGGAGGAGGGAGCGTGGGCTCTCCCAGACACCCTTCCACTGGTGTCCGTGTAGCCCAGCAAGCCACAAGCAACCACAAATCCATTCGCTTAGCACCACAGCTGACAGCAGCACATACTCATCCCCTGAGCACAAACAGGGTACATAGTACCACCCTGCTTTGAGACATTGCTTCTAGCTAGATATTATGGGAAAATATAAGAAAACTTTCTCCTTCCCCCAAAACAAACCCAAGAACACCCATCATTTTTGGGGAGGAACTTGAGAGCGCTGTTGGGATTGCCTTACACACCATATAGGTCACTGTGCTACGCTTGCAGGACGTGGACGGCTGTGCCCACGTGTGCTCCGTAATATATCATGAGACGATTTGAAGAGAAGCAGCCCATATGCTCAGGCCTCTCTCGTGACAGCACCGGGGAGGTTTCATTCAGAAATGCAGGACACTTGGGGTCACAGAGCACGTCCTCTCTCTCTCTCTCCTTCAACAGAGGCCACATGCCCCTGCAGCAGGGATGACTGGCCTCCAGGAAAGAGCTGGAGCTACTCACAAAACGCCTATGCAAACCCAGCTCCCCCTTCAGAGGGAATCAGAGGTGACAAGCAAGTTTAAGTTGACTCTAACCACACAGCAGCAGCCTGCCTTTGGGAAAAAGCAATGGTGAAAGCGTTGCTGTGAGCACTGAGATGGAGCCTGTCAGGGTTTTCCTCAGGGTAATTGCCTTGTCTGCTCCCAGGAGAGCCAGCGCGGAGCAGCCAATCCATCCCCAGCATTCACCTCACTCCCCTAAAACGCCCACCAGCAAACTGGGCAGGAGATGCTGCCTCAGCCGCCAGCGCGCGCTCCCGCGAGAGCCAGCCCCAGTGGCCGCGTTCCCGCGGAGGCCCTGGCAGGAGACGCTGCCAGCGCCTGAGCTCCCGCAGCTCCGGCCTCCCACTTGAAAAGGAAGCGAGGACTCATTTAATCACAGTCCTTTAATCAGACTTTCTCAGTGAATGAACGCCACAAATAACGCTATCTGAACACTTCAGAGATTAAAACTGTATATTCAGGCAATTGTATACCAATATATAAAAAGAACCAGAGGCCAAGTGTCAGCTAAACCAGCCGGACTCTGCTGAAGGCCAAGAAGTGCTTCCATGTTTTCCACCATTACAAGAACAATCAGAATTTGGCCTGCTATTCTTCTGTCTTTATGAGCTTCCAAGGATTTTGTGTTTTAAGCTAGAAAAGGTGTCATGTCAACTGAGGAACTCCCTGCTGCAAGAGACATCACGAGGCCAGGAGCTTTACTGTAGGTTAGTACACAGCTATAAAGCAGCTGGAAGTCCAACATGAGCCAACCCTGATTTTTTTTGTCAGCCCCAAGGGAATTTTTTTCTGTGAAAGGGTTTTTTGTTTTGCTTTCCCCCTCCCCCCTTCCTCAAAGTAGCTTGTCTTAATACTTGCACAAAGCTTTGATGAGCGCTTGAGCTAGCCAATTTTGGAGGCAAGCTACCAACTAGATGGGGCAGTAGGCCTGACCACGGTGGCAGTTCACATGGGCTTTGACATAAATTCAATCAACCACAAAGTGCGGCACATCATAAGGTTTTCCGCTGCCCCTCTGATAAAAGTTACCGTGTCCAGGATGGGAGAAACACGCACAGACCTGAAACAAGTCCAGCAGCTTCGTTTAAACTGCCAGTAACAATAGACTTAAGTAAACCGCAAGGTTTATCACCAAAACAGCCGTGAGGAGGGCTCAAGCCCTTGATGGAAGAGAGCTGAGCAGACACCTGGCACAGAGGAGTTTATTTTCAGAAATTGCCACAGCTAGATACACTGCAGCACCTCCGTCAACATCCTGTGGGTCTAGGATATTACTCTATCAGGCAGAGAACTCGGGTTTTCTTTCTGCTTACGCAGTCAGTGCTTCCAAAGCAAAAGTCAAGCAAAGCCAGATGAGCATGGTGCCTGACTCAACTTTACTTACCCCTGTACATGCCGAAGTAGCCTTCTGAGCGGATCGTTTTAATGAGGCAGTCAGACCTGCAAACCAGAGAGAGAGAGAGAGATAAATCACCGGAGCTCAAAGGTGGGTGGGAGCAGAGAAAACAAAACAAAGCTCTTGGAGGGGTTTTCATTTACAATCTGTCAGCAAAACCCTGAGCCGAGAAGGGAACAGCGTCAGCTGCTCAAAGTGCCATTGTTCGGGCTCGAGTCTGATTTCAGCCCCTAATTCACCAGGGCTTTGAAACCCCTGGCTCACCCCACACCCGCTCTGTCCGCTTTCTAGAAATACAAAAGGGAAAAATGTTACTGCGAGGGCTGTTTATCCAGGGTCCCCTGTGGCAAATGCACACGGGATGCTCTAACAATCATATTCCCATGTGCGTGTATTTAAATCTGGCTCTGCGGGGCGGGAGGGGACCAGGAGGCACAAAACCCCAAAACGCTTGACTTACTCCATGAAATTTGACATAAGGCACACAAACACTAGCTGACCTGAACACTCAGTCATCCGTGACCTCCTACTAAGATTAAGCGCGCTTGATTTTAACGCACTGACTCCCACTGCAGTCAACAAGCGCGGTCGCCCTGGGGAGGGAGCGCCCGAGGGGAGACCCGTCACCTTCTTTGTTCTTAACTATATTTAGTTTAAATTGGAAAACTCTGCAGAGCGCCGGAATCGCTCCAAGCCCTTCGAACACACACTTCTGACGAAGGCGGATCTGCAGTTCAGGACGGCAGCGCGGATGCCTGGGCCAAGATCCTCTCGCCAGACCCTGCAGGAAGCCTGCCCGCTGCCGAGGGGTTGCTCCACAGGTTTTTGGAAGGGGCAAGTGCTTCCCATGGCAGGAGGGGAGGGGAGGGGTGCACATGCATGCATGTGTACGTAATTAAGGAACAAAAGGCTCTTTTAAGTAGAAATAAGGGCAGTGTAGCTGATTAGAACAAGAATACAATTCGGAGAGATGTGGCAACCTGTAAGGAGAAATCTTCCTCTCTGCTTTGTAAAAACGCTGAGGTGGGAGAGGAGGAAATACAGCTTTCTTGCAAGGGCTTTTTGGCCAAGCAGGGTTTCTCAAGGGGAACCTATATTACTCACAACATCCGTGTCTCTGTGCCAGGACACCCCAACTTTTGGCAGCCTGGCTTTCACACACTCCAGCACAGCTCCTGTGGCTAGCACGTACCTATCTCTTTCTCGGGTACTCTTGGTGTCTTCCCCTTGTCTGTAGGGGCAGGACACAGGATGGCCCGATGTTATCTGGAGGTTGTTACCACCATCATGTCCTTATCTCTGCAGGCTCTCAAAAGACTGCCCTCTTTCATCCATCATGGACTTATCCCCACCAAGCTCA